ATCCTGTGAATACACCAAGAGAAAGGACAGTGTATAGTGTAAAAGCTGTGATGTCTGCTATTGTCAAGAAAGAAGAGTTTTTAGTAAATGCTACTGGTACTAGACGTACAGGATTGAAGGAGATCCTAGCTGATGAATCATTATCAGATATTAGTAACCTGTCACTATTAGGAGGACAAGATATTAAGGTAAGAATTAACACACACAAACTGTTTGATACATTAATACAAGCACTAATAATCAAAAGGTCATATCTTAAAAGTAATTTTATTTCTTATCAATTACTCAGTCTTTGTCATAATTGTGGGTTGTCATTGTGTTGCTTTTACTACTAATAATATATACTTATCTCCTTGATAAACAAGCACAGTGACAAATATCAGTATTATTATTATTATTGTATAGGAAGTGATTGAAATAACTGAAGAATTCAAGACACCATTGACTCCAATAAAGCTAGGTATGTTATAATATGTACTATCACAATTGTCAAGTAGTGGAAGTGTAGACTGTACAGTGTATATACACATTATTAATTATTATTTTTATAGATATTAAAAAACTTGGTGATGTCATTAAAGTATTAACATCAGATCAACACTTGCCCTGTTCTGTATGGCGTAGACTAGGTCTACAGTTAGGATTATATGATCCTAGACTAGTAGATATAGACACTGACTGTAGAGGAAAGACAGTGGAGTGCTTCCATGAGTGTATGTCTACCTGGTTAAGAGGAGAAGATGGAGTGAGAGAGAAAGGAGGTCCCAGTTGGTCATCATTAGCTACAGCACTGGATACAATAGACCAAAAATCTATTTCTAGTTACATTAGAGATAAATATTGTTAATAATTAGTGGATTATATTGTCTATAGTATTTCATTTTGTTCTGTTTGTTTTTATTTTTGCTGATACTTGCTGATTCATTTGTTAATTAGTTGAGTTGTAAAAGCTGAGCTGTCATCATGTACTAATTTCCCTATCTCTTTAGAATTATCACTGATAGTATCAAACTATGTTTATTATTAGTAACATTGCTATTTGAATAGTTACTGTTAGTTTCAAACTATGTTTATTATTAGTAACATTGCTATTTGAATAGTTACTGTTAGTTTCAAACTATCTTTATTATTAGTAACATTGCTATTTGAATAGTTACTGTTAGTTTCAAACTATGTTTATTATTAGTAACATTGCTATTTGAATAGTTACTGTTAGTTTCAAACTATGTTTATTATTAGTAACATTGCTATTTGAATAGTTACTGTTAGTTTCAAACTATGTTTATTATTAGTAACATTGCTATTTGAATAGTTACTGTTAGTTTCAAACTATGTTTATTATTAATGTTGTTATTGGTATAGAATTACTATGAATAATGAATTATGATGCTATAAACTAGTGGATATTTTTGATTTATGACCCTTTAAGCTTACTACATAACTTAAGCATTTCTTGACAAATTTTAGAGCAACTTTAAAAATTTATTGAAAATCCAATTTTAATTGGAACCAGCTCAAACTTTCTGCACAGCATACATGTAAGTACATGTACATATGCATCAGTAAAAGTACAGATTCCATGCATTCATAATGACACTGTAGGTGCTGGTGACCACTGTAGCATTAGCTGTAACTGCTAGAGTAGGCAATGACTGCTGCTCTGCATTTAAATCATCATTAAATTCAATTAAAATTAAAAATATTTTGCAAAAAATGAGAATTGTAATGAATGACTAAAAGTCATTGTGTCTTCATAAATCTTTTGCTTCTAGTATCGTATCACTTGAGGTCTCATCTTTATTTCAGCTTGAGCCTATCAATGATGATGTTAAGATTTGCTATGAGTAGTTACTGTCAGTACAGTCTTGTTATATTCTTCTTGTATGTAGTGCTCTTAGCATCACTAGCAGTAGTAGCCACTAGTGATCCCAGGCAGTGTCATGTGGAGGCGGCACTACACTGCTGCCCAACCTGTATAATGATAGTTAACAATATATACTGACACTAACTGAATGGACTTCAACCTTTAAAAGGAACTTAGTCTTAACAAAGAAAGGTTAATACATGACACTATTGATACTATACTGTAAGATCTTTAGTCTTTCAAACAGTAGCTGTAATACCTTAAATAAATGTAGATTAATGCATTTACATATGTACATGTTAGGAAAATACTTGAACAGTGAGATATCCCACATGGACAATGTGGATCAGGAGCTTGTTGACTAGTTGATGCTACTAAAACTACTTGTGTTTCCTACACCATTAACCTTCAATATCTTACTATAACCTGTACCAGTACATTACTACCTACCTAGGACTTAATAGCTATTGTCAAAAATATGAACACTTTGCTAATTAGTATCATTGTAGGTTGAGGTTGCAAGTACTTGCTACCCATTCATCATATCCACACTTCAGCTTATAAAGACTACTTACAACCTATGACCCTTCATACACTTGTAGAACCATTATGATAAACACCATATTAACCTTGTCATATGTTCCATTACCTACATCATAACATGATGATCCTCAATAGGTGTACCTATACCATATTAATTAACCTTGCTATACAAGTACATTCATAGCATTACCTATAATACCTTATAACCTCTGACCTTTACAATGTAAATATGCCTACATTTGCTTTACTGAGCACATTGCTACCACCATGTATACCATTACCATTGCCTACATTAACTTATAACCTGAGATATCCTAAATATAACACAATATATGACCATATTAATGTTTCTTAATACTTAATACCATTATGGTAACTACCTCCTACCATTACTACCTGTGACCCTTGTCTATATAACATAAATATAAGACACTGCAGCTCCATATTAATGTTCCTTAATACTTAGATACCATATTATTTGATAATGGTAACTGCATGTGACCATTGTCTATATATTGTAACTCTACAACCTTAACGTAACAACAAAAGTATACTCTTGATACCATAATGTACTACACAATGTGAATATGATAGTATATAATGTGTTATTTGTTATAAACTGGTGCATTATTGTCAAATTATGAAACTAATATAAAATTAATTAAGGGCCAATTCACTAACTAATCTCTACTATACTATACCTGTATGTATCATCTCAAGTTTCTATAGTGGTTCACAGCTGCAGGGTGCCAAGGTTGCTTTGAATCTGAGGCCATGAAAACGATGCAATCCGTATAGTTTTGTGCCTGTTTTATGCTTCTGTTTACACAGAAACGAATGAAAACGTGATAGAATCTTTTAATAGAACTATTGGAAACGAAAACAGCGTTCAAAGTGGATACTTGGTAAAAACGATGTGTTTTCCATTGCTGTGTAAATGTAGCCTGAATTTCTTTTGCACTTTGAGTTTCATAATTTTAATTGTAAGACTAATAAGAAGTGTCACACACTCACAACAATTATAATTAATAATAATTAATGATAATATACAAACATACAAATCATCCATTTAATATTTCTCTAAAATTCACAAAATAATTTAATTTATCTATCTATACTAAACAAGCCACAAGTTAATGCACGTTCCAGTAACGGCCTTTTCGCTTTTCTGACTCTTACCAACCTTACCAAAGTCTAAAGAACCCGGGCCTACGCTCAACAAGAAAGGCACATCCATTCTCTCTCTCTGTCTCCCAAGGAAAGTCGAGAAAAAAGACGTGTACCCATTTGGTTCTATATGACCCTCAAGAATGGCTACATCAAGGACAGATCCCTTGTGTGAGGGGATTGACATTACAGCTGCAGACGCATCAAAATAGTTCTGGTTCTTTTGTAGTCTGCTCATTGGGACGATGAGTACTTCTCCTGTCACTGTCCCTAGTAAGAGATCAGCTGTGGTGATGGAGAAATGTGAGACTGGGATGGGAGAGAGAAAGGAAAAGATAGAATTAGATAAAATCAGGTGCTTTTTCTACTCAAAATACAACTCACTTTCGATCCCAAATGTCCAATAGCCGGAGACCTCCTTATCGACCACACCCACTCTACACAAGCAACAGGCCCCTGGACGTAACGAATCCTCCAAAACTACAAACATCATCGTTTCGTCTGACGTAAGACACATCCAAGAAACAAGAGAAGACGGAACGGTAAAAGTTTTATGCTTTAGGCTCAACGATTGTACCCTACGAGCTTTAACATTCGTCACATTAAAGGTCGAAACCTCTATGAAGGAGTCTTTACTGCCGCACCAAACCTCAAAGTTCTCTCCTTCCCTATATATGATCTGATAGGCAGTCGCACCTTTAATACTTTTTGATTCTCCGCAGTAAGATCCAATCAGGCTGTCAGGCTTCTTCATATCTCTTTGGGATGTATGAGAGGTGTGGACTGCCCCGTTTGAGAAACCACAAACAAATATTTGGTCCTTTTGGAAGTAGCGGATGAACATGACCTTCCCGTTCTGACACCTCTCGCAAATGGTGAGTGGGAGTGGCGGCTCGTTACCATGAATATAGAGAATAGAGCTACCAGAGCGACCGACAAATACACTTCTATCCGGCAAAGAAAACAAGGAGACTATTGGCTCCTGTATCTTTTGTAACATCTGAGAGAAAAAGAGAAAGAGAGTAAAATATGTTCACAGTTTAAATGTTGATACGCGTATGTTGATTATAAGTTTTAGTAATGTAATACCTGAGTCCCTTGATATCTGCCCTCAGCTTCACCTCAAGCAGATATCTCAGTCCTCAGGTATTATGTTACTTATACACGTACAAACAGACTGTACACATGTAAATGACTAACTGGTGTCATCTTCATCACAACTTTGTTACTGTCATAGCTACCTACAGCTTCACACATGACAACAACAGACGATTCCTCTTGTCTAAGAGCAAGACAGACCAACAATGGAGACATGTAAGATGAGTTGACAGAAGAGGTGGGAGAAGAAACAGTTGAAGCTATGGACGCCTCAGGATCTGTTTCAACGGGAGTATTAGGAGAGGGAGGAGGAGGAAGAGGAGAGGGAGGGACGATACAAGCGTGAGTGACGTTGGAGTCTGAACTGATTTGAAACGTGTCAAGTAAATGATACATGTTCTTTGCTGGCAGCTGGAACCGACTGGAAAAAAGAGAGAGGACAGATGAACAGGAGAGAGAAAAAGAAGTAATGAGCATACTTTTTCACTAAAAGTCCAGTTGTTTTCTGAAGATAGTTCCTAATTGTTTTAGCAGACGGTCTTGCATTAGGTTCTTGTTGCCAGCACTGGTCAAGAGTAGTGTACAGAGGGATTGGATAGGCAGGATCCTTAGAGAGAGAAAGAGGTAAAAAAGAGACAAAAAGTAATAAAAATTTTAAGGTGATTTGGAGCCATTGTTCGGAAAAAGCATGGGCTACAGTACAGAGTATTTTTTCAAATTGTGGCGCATTTCAAAATGGCTGTAATGTACATGTGCATGTATGTGTATGTACTTTTAAATGAAAAGACGGTCTCCAATTTCTTTTCAATTGATTTTTATAATCAATTTCCGAGTATCCTCTTGGCGGGAGACCTCGCAGCGTCATCAATTCATAAAGACCAAGAGCCAGACAAAATATATCAACCTAGACCACACCCATTAAGCCACGCCTACAATAAAATATTTGAATACCTTCTCAGTTAATTTAGTGTTGCTAGCTTCGGGTGCAAATCTTTTGACGCCCAGGGCATCGTGATTGTGAGCAGCTGGATTAACAGACACGCCCATATCTCCGAGTTTAACGAGTACCTTGTAGCTATGCCCAGGTTCGGGGAGACACTCACTACAATAACCTCGACCCTGTACACTACTGCAACAATTGTGATCCATCTTTGGGAACCTAAATATTAAAAAATAAAAATTAATACAAAAATTAATATCAAAAAATAAAAAGAATAATAAAAAGAATAATAAAATAATAAATAATAAAATACTGATACAGTTACCTGTATGCTAGTATATTGCTCAGCTTCAAGTCGCTGTGTATTATACCAATGGGAGGAGCATGCAAGTAATGAAGACCATCACAAACCTAATAATATACCAATAATATACAAACAATATACTGAAAATATACTGAGAATGCTAACAACATAAGAACACATCATGTACATGTACATGTACTAATAATAAATATACTAATGATATACTAGAGTATACTGACTTGTAGCAATATAAGATAGAGTGACACAGGACACAAGTAATAATATTCAGGTTTATGGGTCTTAAACTGCTCCTCGTACGACTTCCTTATTTTTTCAAGACTCATCAGGGGGGCCCACTCCAAAATAAACGACCAAGGGTTCGTGAGAAGACCAACGAATTCAACGACGAAATCATGTTCCATCATACAGAGTTTATTAAGCTCGTAACGCATATCAGCATATGATTTAACGACTTCTAATTCAGCGTCATAATCCATATCCGATGATCTAAACTCCTTCACTGCCACTTCTCTTGAAATATCAGGATCATACTAGAAAAGAAGAAAAAGACGATTAAAATTTTAAGTACATGTACATGTACTCACTTGCTCTAGTTGCAATCTTTTGTGGTACACGACTCCAAAGCAGCCACACCCAACTGGCCCCGCCCCATTACCCGAGTCGACAGGATCATGTAACATGTTCCGGTCTAACTTGACACGAGAAAGATCCTTAAACATCTAAAAACAATTGTATAATTAATAACTAGCTCCACCCATTCACAACTATTACTAACTAGCACTACCCACTAATTAACAACTAGTCCCACCCACTAATTAACAACTAGCTCCACCCACTCATTAATAAACAACTCACTATATCTGGTACTAAATATTCCAGTTGTATATCTCCATGTTTAGGACACTCAATGTATTCCACATTCATGCTTGATCTGATGCACTGATCAATGGAAAACACTATCAGCACATCTTCCCCCAAGCGCTGGTGAATGCTCTTTTGTCTACCAGTGGAGCTTCTGCTAACTGAGGATGTCCTTATGCGTTGAGCTAGTTTCGGGTGATTAGCGAATCGTTTGTGATCACTTTTAGGCGAGCGAGTATCGATTTCTCCAAAGCAAAGTGGGCAGGGCACAATGTGGAGCATTTCTCCAACAGTATAGATCCCGTTTTCGGCTAATTTCTCGTAGTGGCCTTTAAGAACCTCGTCAATCATCTCCAGTGCTTTAGAGAGGAGTTTTGGACCCACGGCTCTGTCGTATCCAGCATTACAACTCAATTCTATGTCCTTAACAACCACTTCAATCACTTCTGTACTTCCTAAAACTGGAAGAACATCGCCATTACTGTCGGCGAAATGAAACCGTTTCATTTTATCATAAGTGGCCGATATGACAGCACGTTGCATCGGATCAATAAATTCGTCCATTTTTAAACTGTTGATGCTCAGCAGCAGCTGGTGATCTACGTCAAAAACGAGGCCAGTCTTCCAGTATCTCCACCGAACGTTAGTCGTTCCAATATTGTACAAGGCTCCGTGACCTTGTAAGGAAGCTTGGAGACAATCATCAACTGAAACTATTATTTTAACGAAATCATTCTTCTGGAGGCAAAGGGTTATGAGTTTGCTCCAGAAGCCGGTCGGGAGGGGAGGAAGGAGGAAGAGACGACGATAGACAAGGCCGGTTGTTTTTATTTGTAGTTTGCGGGAGAGAGAGGGAAGGGCAGCTGGGAGATCGTCAAAAAAGCTACGGATGTCTTCAGAATAGGCCGAGGAAGAGGAGGAGCTAACGCTACGTGGGAAATAACCTTGTCCAGTAAACAACTTTACCTGCAAACAAACAAACAAACAAATAAATAAATAAATAAATTGTATATACCAATATATGTATGTACATGTACAGCTGCAACTTTACAAATACATGTACATGTACATGTACAAATATTTTGTCTTAAAATTCTCCCTCTCTCCTTCTCTCTTACAGTTGGTATTGGAGACAGCATAGAGGGTACCAGAGCTGTTTCTTTGTCAACAGGAAGTAGGACTCCATACTGATGGAGGAAACTAAATATGAGCTTTGCTTGTTCTGAGGAAACCTTCTTCTCTGAAAACATCACCTGCATCATCTGAAACCTCAACAACCCGGAACCAGGCTCTGAGAAAAAATAATAATAAATAAGAAATAATTAAATGTACTTGTACATGTTTGTTGTTACAGCAAAGGCCTGTAAGTGCATGTATGTAAATGTATTTTTTATTTTTACCGTCTCCAGCTGCTATTAGTTCGTTGACATTGCTTGGTGATATGACGAGGGCACATGAGTCAAACCACCACTGGGGACTGAGGATGTAATACTCCTCAAGATTAGGCTTCGGAAAATGAAGAACACTACCCACTAATGAGAGATGAGAGAGAGAAATATACAACAATAATGTGCATATGTACATGTACATGTGTACGGTGTATGTAACAAAAAATGTAATAAAAATGGAGAATATAAAATCTACTGACTGTTGTGCAGGAAATGCATGGCAGCATCAACTTCATCTTCATCTTTAATGATGTCCCTAACTTCCTTCAGTTTACTATAATGAGCCAATTAATATTCATTAATCAACAAACCACACCTACCAGAATGCGTCCCTCTTATAAAGCGGCTTGTGTGGATTATTCTCTAGCAACGTCTGAATGGCTCCCTCTAACTCAAGATAACACTTAGGAATCTTCTCATCAATAAGGTTAATGGAGAAACTGGAAGGCATGTCAGAATCTGAGAGAGAGAGAGAGAGAGAGAGAGAGAGAGAGAGAGAGAGAGAGAGAGAGAGAGAGAGAGAGAGAGAGAGAGAGGGAGAGGGAGAGAGGGAGAGGGAGAGAGGGAGAGAGAGAGAGAGGGAGAGAGAGAGAGAGAATCAATAGTATATTTAAAGATATTTAAAAGTAATTTCTAAACTATGTTCCTAACCTCTTGGTATCTCCATAGAACAGGCAATGTCATGAATCTTATCTGAGAGTTCCTCATACCTCAATGGAGAAAGATAGCTACCGAAGAATGGCGGATCACCAAACCCAACATAAAAGACACCTCTAATCTTAGGAGCAATCTTATCTCTGTACTGGAACTCTTTCTTAATCCTCTCCTTGTATCCCTCCAATAGAGAATCAGCATTACCTCTCTCTGCTCGTCTGAAGGCGTTTAGATGAGTGCCAATAATCAGGACCTGAGCATAAGGAGCAG